GCTTATACGCTGCGTCATAGACATCATAATATGTTCGTACGACGAAGTATGCTAATTGACTCACAACTGCTACAAGACCGAATTTCAGTTTACGTTGTGCCATTCCCATATCCCTAGTCGCCAGGGGACCCTCAAGCAGCACCCAGTTCTTTCGTATTTGAACAACTACACTGCCAAATGCATCTCGCATCATTTTGTGAACTGCAGCCACCTCGTGCTTGTTACGAACAGTGTTTTAGGGGCTGGTACTCCTTATCCCTTTACTTGCTGCCACCCGTACATCGCTTGAGTATCAGTTTGTGCATAACTCTCCAAGGTAATATTCTGCGGCATATTTCATCCACTCTTACTTTTAATTTCCTACGGCCCACTGATGCAGGCGACTGCTCCATGATAATACAACATCAATATAGAGAGCCTTGCATTTTATTCAAAGCCCCCTGAATTCGTGATCACTGCAAATGAATGATTTTCCTTTGATGTAGCGAACAAGCTGTTTAAAGCATTAACATCATGAAAAAAATGTAAAAGATGTGAAAGAATCGGAAAATTTCGCCATGTTTTCTTTCAGGAATTAATATCTCAGGTGGAGCTTAATCCATCTGTCAATCTCCTAACCCAATTAACCATTATTATCGCTGCTTGTACGGTAGTTATGTTCATGAGCCATTCGATCGATTCCATTCGTTGTTCAGAGAAGTATGGGAATGATGGGCTTCAACATGTCTCTGCTTACGGTTTTACAATGAACGGACATGACCGAAGATGGCTCCTGATCTTCCTGCTCTAGATTGTCGCAGCATTCAAGTACTCTTTCACAGAACAAGTCGAGTACTGCCCGAATGTCAAGTACAGCGTGAGTATTTCATGTAGGGCGCCGTCAGCCAAAGGAGATCGAGTGATGAACGAAAAAGACAACCGACACTAGTAAGTGGTGGCGGGCGTTAAGCTGTGAAAAAGACATTTGTAATTTCCGTAGAAGTCAAATGTGGCTATTTCTGGTGCCCTCAAAACATTTGACGACATTGCAACCAACGACCGTCCAACTGAAAGTGCAAAAACTTTGTCCATGACCTTTCGGAGATCGTTGAAAATTCAACTTAGCATCATCCGATGCCTCGAATGCAACAGAACAGCCACCCGCACACTGTAGAAAACGATCACCCACTATAGCCGGTCGAGGCGCGCTTCCGGCTGAGGAAAACGCAGATGAAGAAGGACACAGACCCTGAGCCGGTCGCACGAACGATACGCAGAAGGCTGCATTACGTCATCGCAATCAGCGTATTCGCCATATGGCTGTGCCTCGCTGGTGGCTTGGCGATCTGCTTCGAGATGAGCAACGTCTGGAGACTACTGGATCGAGAGATCCACGATTTCACGGTAATGAGACGGTAGCGCGAAATCATAGGCATATGGCATACAGCTGTGTTTAGGTAGCGACCGACGAACTGTGGGCCGAACTGATGACCATGAGGTCGAAACGGCACAGCGTCGAGACAGAGATGATCGGTGCTACCTCACAGACCCTACTTCGTGCTGCCGAAGTTCACGCTCGTTTCAAACGTGCGGTCACAAGCGGTGAAGTAATCCGTAACGGTCGCCCGCAGAAACGAAAAACAATTAACCGTTCGTCTGACAGACGAGGTGTTTCGACCACAACTACCGAACCTGACGAGAGTGATGCTCCAGCCAACCTCACGGAGGTCGCGACCACTTTCAAGACTCGACGAAGGAGTACAAAATGGACACCCCGTCACGTGATGCGAACGAGACCCAATCGAATGCACAGGCTAAACAGTGGCAGCAACGATTTGGGCTCAAGGCTCCGAGCCGAATACCGACCGAAATTCGTCGATCACCCTCAACCACAGACACGAAAGAAATATTGGGCATGGCATTCAGGAGACGAGACGTGCTGCCAATGCAGGAGACCCGGCGAAGTCATCAAGTGTAAGCCAGGCC